AACCTAGTGCATATCTGGATTCTGAGCAGGGTATTGTGCTTCAAAAGTATTAAGAGGTTTATCCTGCATGCAAAGAAAACTGCATTTGTGGTTGAGCATGATTTATAATGGCACATATCGGCAGATAGAGTTATGTTTATGAGGAAGGCCATCAGGGACTGTATTGCAATTCTCCTCAGTCATTGTTAACTGGAATGAATCTTTTCTTATCTGTGAGTTTCTCTAACTATTTCCTTTGCCTTTATATTTTGCCTATGGTATATTAAGCAAAAATATAGTTTGAAATATTGAGGATTATCACCATTTAACTTAATTGTATTAGTAATGGTTTGAACTTCTCCAGAATGGTCTTGGAATTGTGTACTGAAATATGAGAATAATAATTGAATCTCTATACCTCTCTTCTCTCTACACATGCGGAAGATGCAAGTATCACTGTTTTGTTTAATTGCATTGTGTAGCATCTGGATATCACATTTAGGCGGGATCCAACAAATTTCAGACCAAGATCAACAATTGGATTCCACCAAGGACAGGGATCAAAAATCTGCTGGGTATATTATTACGAGATGATTAAAATAGTATCAACAGGTCTTGTACTTGGTTTGCTGCTCCTTGGTTGTACTTGATGAGAGGCACTGTGAGATCACTGTTGTAGTGGTGGAAAAGTTTAAAGACATCAATGTCAGCTTCATTTGGATCTCTGCTGAAGTGGGATCAGGATGATGATACATTGCAGTTGAGAAGGTCCTTTGCCTGGTGAGATCAAGTCAGTTTTCCTTGGATGGTTTTCGGCCCATTCATTGATGCTGCCCTTTGTACATTTGTGTTTGTGGTTTCTGTTTCACCCGTTTTGTTTATGGCATTGGCCGAGTGAGTTGAATGTTTCTTGAAACCAGAGGAACGACGTGTTCGAGACTGGGTTTGGGCCATGCCGTCTTTGTTTACTTTTTTTAGTTAATATTTGACAAATCACCATCATATTTATTTCGTAATTAAGAAAATAGTATATACTATCTTGGAATTTCATTATATATTGGCTGGTTTTAGTTTATTGATTTATGTATTGAGAAAAAGAAAAATCAATTGTGGATTGTAAAACAAACAAAAAATTACGAGTTTGCTGTATATCACTAACTTGTTAACCAGCATAATGAGACTGTAACCTGTTGTTTTTCTTAATTTTTTGACCTGAATTATTTCCTTATCTCCACTGCATCTTTCCATAGTTGCCTGAAGCAACACACATATTTGCCAACGAAATGTAGTATCCTACATTTTTAGGTCCAATCAAGAGAATTTTTGCAACCTTTTTCCCCATTCTACGTCTCCATGATAGTTGCAAGCACATAGCATGGCTCCCAAACACCAGATTTAGGTTGGTTTGGCATATTCTTATGAACTCGTAGGCTTCATGGATTTTTCCTGATCGACCCAGCATTTCAACCATGTATACATGATGCTCAGTTACAGGTTCTATCATATTCCTGCATATTGTTGTATACCATAGAACTTCATTCACCCGGCCTGTGTGACTGCAAGCTGATAATAGGCGATGAATGTGCTTTTGGTTGGTTTCTTCCGAGGTGCACATTTCACGAAACACTTCAATTGCTTTTCTACCTTTACTATGGTAACCATATGCAGAAATCATAGAATTCCATGCTGCATTTGATTTTTCCCTTGATTTTCAAAGACTTTGCACAATGTCCAATCTTCCACAATTGCTGTAATATCCAGAAGAGCTGCAGATAAAAGAGTTCTCTTGAAAACACATGCGAGATACACGTCCATGAATTTCCCTTCCATTCTTAGAACTCCAAGTTGAGTGCAAGCCGAGAGAAGTAACAATTGTGATCTCATCGGGTTTGAACTCAAGAGAGCGAAACAATTCAGCGCTCTTATTTCAGCCTTATTCTGAGAAAAAGCAGAGATCATGCAATTCCAAGAACATAGATTCGATTGGAACTCAAACTGAACACGAGTCTGCACTCTAATATCCTCGCATCTGCTATACATTGTGATTATACATTCAGTCGCGGGTATTGATCCCATCAAAGACTTAAGAGCAAGACCATGAAGAGATTCCCTTGGGAGGCCAGCTCAAGCATTCCGCAAGCTAAAGATGACATGACAAGGGAACTGAATCATGGCTGACATTTCCTTGCTGCCTCATCGTGTTGAAAGTTTCAAAGCTACTCCGAAATGGCGATTTCTATGCAGGCAACAATTACAGTATCAACAAACAGTATCTCTACAAGTGAAATTCTTTGCAGCAAAGCAAAGCGGCCATCAAGTCTCCACATTAATGTACATGTCATGAGGGGATAACTGCATTATTTTTGTTTGAAAACCCCACCTTTAACTGCCAACAATGAATTGATCTACCAAACTCCAGGGATTCAAGGGAATTGCAGAAGGAAGAATAGCAAATAGAATTGACGTGCTGAACTGTGAAGAGAAATAGAGCATTTCCTTAAACGGCTCTGAGCCTTTTTCGAATCTCCATTTTGGAATACCCAGAGATCATGTGTTCCATGATACCAAATCTTAGGAAATGGTACTGAACAGAGCTCGGCCTTCGTACACAGCTGCATTTTGAGTAAAAGTTAATAAGGCTGTTCATCACAATTACATCATATCCCATTAGTCTACGCATTGCATATCCTGTACACTTCTTCCTTCTCTCAAAAGCATAAATTCAGCACAAAGCGACATTATAGTAAAACAGTAGTACATCGGTGAACAGACCCCATCAACTGCATTTCATTCAGAAGATCAAATGCTTCTTTGATCTTTCCATTTGAAGTAAACCCATTAATGATTGCATTCCATGAAACAATACTATGTTGCATATCCCGAAACCTGTCTCTGCAGCCTCAATATCTCCACACGTGAATATAATGAAATGAGAGAATTGGCAACAGAAACATAAGAGCCTTCCTCATAACCCAACTTAATGACCACCCCATGAATAAACTTGACCGTGAGTGAACACACCAAGACAGGCAACATAGCATAGCAGACGACAAACTACATATCGGCACGTTCTCTAGAGCAACTCATTTCCTTAAAGTAAACAAGGACTCCTCAGGATGATCATTACTAAGACAACACTCATTATTGTATTCCAAGACACAATATCCTACCATCACCAGCAAACATACACTCTGAAGAATTCAGGTCACCACATTTTGCGTACATGTCCACAAGTGCATTGCAGACTAGAATTGAAAGCATCCCACTCTTTAGCTTAAACTATGAAAAATCTTTCCTTGTTTCAAGGATTTCATGTGGGATAGGTGTGAAACACAATCAAAGAGTTTGGAATCAAACCCAGGTCCTCTTTAATCATCCCACAAATAAATCCAATGCCATATTAAAACAACGATTCTCAGTACAGGCAGAGATCATAGCATTCCAAATGATCACATCCCTGAACAAGTTCATTAAACGAAACCCACGAAGAGCAAAACACCAGTCTAGAGTAAGCTGTAAGCAGAGAGGTGGATATCGGCAAGTGGGGAAGAAAACCTAACTTGAGAGCTAAGCAATGGACAGTTTAGACAGTAAGATATAAGGTGTTGCATTGGAAGGTTTGAGAAGATGAAGAACAAAGTGAAAGTTGATGTCTTGATAATGTTGATTTCTTTGCGACATTTTATCAAACGCTTGATAAAAAGTGGAAATATGAGATGACTGAAGTGCGTATAATTGTGAGTTTTGGAGATACGAGGGTAGAATAGATGGTGAAATGGGATTTTTGTGTTTGTATGAACATTGTAAGAAAAGAGATTAATAACTCGCGGGTTCTGGTACGATATAAGGATGGTAAAGACAGTGATAAAGACTGTCTAAGCAATGTAATAATTAGCTGAGTAGAAATGCATGAATGATGACCCAGTTGTGCGTGTTTTTCGATACATAAAGTGAAAATGGGTAAACATTACTCTCTACTTAGGTTGTGTAGAATGCGAATTCATTATCCCTTAAAGAGTAGCACGTGAACCAAATAAAGCCAAGCTGGGTGAAATATCACATGTTACTTTATGCTATGAATGATGCCTCAACTCTTCAAGTCACCGTGGACATGGAAATGGGAAATAGCTTCTTAAGTTCAAGAAATCTGGGTTGTAGTTGTAAACCAAGAGTTCGCTTCAAGGTTCTAAAAGGAAAGCTTCCAATGAATAAATGTGAATAAAAGTAGAGAACCACAATAAAAAAACATACAGGGACCAGGAGAAGGAGAAGGCGGCCAACTTGTGGAGGAGGCAGTGGTGGGTGACTTAGAGGAGTTAATGGCGGAGAAAACATAAAATGCAGAAACTAATATCCCGCTAATCACAGTTGCGTAGATCGTTTTGAACAATGGCTTCGAATTCGCAACCTCTTGGTACCAGTTTCTCCAATCACCAATTGTGATTATTCTGATTGAAAAAGATACAAAATTTATGATCAAATTGCGAGCTTCATTGACATTGAGAGAAGTATAAGTCCTAAACTTTAGATGCAGTTTCTTTGTTCTGATGAATATGTGATTGAATCTAAGTAAGGACTGGGTCACTGAATTATTAGGTGGGTTGGTTTTATGGAGTTATTTATTATTATTATTAATTTTTTATGGTCAACTTCTTTGCTCTGTTTTTATTCATTTTCCTTTTTGAGTTATTACATTCACCCCCCTAAAAGTTGGTCTTAATTAAGGGGGAAATTGTTACTAGTTATTACCCAATAAATATTATATGAGATAATAAATATGTTAATAATCCATATTTGAAAAGCTAAATAGAAGTCAAAATTTTTTCTATTGTTATCCCAGAAAGGGAAAATACAGAATACATCCGGCTTTCTCTATATCCAAAAATTAGAGTCATTGTCTGTCCATGGATATTGATAAAGCCCTCTTCCCCATCTACAAATATAAATACAACCTTCTCGCATTAACGTGTTTAGGAAGTAAACTACCTGTATACTATTTTTTCTTCTCCCATTACCTCGTAGTGATAGAAAATCTTATCAATATCCTCATGATGTTAGGCCTCACCAAGGCGGGTGATCATCGTCTGACTTTTGAGGTGGGACTGGTTTCCACCCAGGTTTCTCGTCCCAGTACATGTCATAATATATGTGTCCAGGGGTCTGGTTCTCCACACAGCACCATATGCCAACATACCGTTTGACACGATTCCTGAATTTCTTGTCTCTTGTCTGAGCATATTTTCCAGGTTAAATCAGTATACCCAAAAAAAAGAGTTTTTGCAATCCTGATTTAATTACAAAGTAACAATTAAGATAATAAACTTGCCTTGTCAGTGAAACCTATGAAAGCATCTTGCATCGAAGAAAACTGAACGACTTTGACATCCTTGAAAGAGGAGAAAACTGTCTTGAACTGCATATCAATAATAATGTTCGTATATTATGATAGGTATTAAGTTAAACAACTTAAATGAATACGCATACAGTCTCTATTATGTGAAGGATAGGAGAGGTTTAGCTAAGCTGAAAAGTAACAGATAAATAAATACTAGCATAGCATATAAGCAATTCAACATTGACTAACCACTAAATTATAGAATTGAAATGAACGTAAAATAATAGTGTATATAAACAAGCTCCCTCCTTTTGCTACAAAATTGGAAAGTGTCTTGACTTTATTGAGATACCATCATTGGAGTTAATCTTTGCCTCCAGAGGTTTGATATCGAACTACTAACATGCCATGGCTCCCTTAAATTCACAGATTTTTTAGGATTTGCACAAGGAGATGTATTCCTTTTTTTTCAATTGAAGTCAAGCCTGAACCAACTCAAGCTTGGTCTTAGGAATTACTTTTGAGCCAAGCATGGGTTCAACATCTTAGCCTCGTGAGGAGTCTTCATTACATCCCAGATATTAGTAAGGGGCCAATTTGGCTTCGCTAGGTTTCTAACCAGAAATTATAAAAAATCAACATCAACTTATATTCTGCTAAAATATTTAATGTCACGACACATGGGTCTGCAATTGAATATTATTGAACAAGAAAATAACCAAAGATGGAAACATTGACGTGTTTCAAGGGCAGAACTTTGAGGTTTAACATGTTTGCTATGGAAATATGCTCAAATGCCAAGGTTTGAACTGAACGTTTATTGGTGCTTCATCAAACAAACAACAAATTAAAGAACTAGTATGAGGTCAAAATGTTTTTTCTCTAATTCTTTTTCATGTTTTGTGCCAGGTTACCATGGTCCAATTGCGGCGCAAAGAGACCCCAGGCCAGGCCACTAATAAAGGGAAGGTTTTTTAGAAATTCACTTCACGTGTGTCATAGAAATCCTCCGTTGCACCCAAAACCATTGTTTTGACCTCTAAATGATCCATAGGTCTTCAACATTATAGGTTTACTCTAGCTCAGATCTCTGTCTATTAATTAAAACAGATAATAAACATAGGTTGTATAAAATCTAGAATACCGTTTCTTCACTGCTAAGTCTTGGAAATCTGAGTACTCCAGGCTGGGTTGTATTGTTTGATGCATGACAATCATCTACTCCGTCTTGACAAAGATGAACTTCAAGCCATGACTCTTTCACCTGAAACAAACATCAAAAGCAAGAATCTCCCACTAAGTGGAATAAATCAAACACTGACACTGATCTATTTGTTTACACAAAGCTGGTAATTGTTACCTGTTTTGGCACCGATGGATTGTCAAAAAACGAATACTCTCTAATACCAATGCCAGGGCCAAAATCCTCCACTGGCATCTCCTGCAGCATCACATTTATCTGCAGAGTAGTGCATATCTCTTAGAGCTATAAGGAAATCATTTAACTTTGAGATCTCCCATTCATCTTCTGTAAAACTCTACTGCCATAGTTATTAACGAGCTATAGAAATTAGTAATTCTTTCAACCAGTTCACAAACTTCATTAAGAACACTTACCCTTTAAGGTGTTTAGAATAATACAATGCACAAACTGATAAGTAAAGAAATGAAAGTTTCATCCAGAAGACCAGCACAATATTTAAAGAGAGGAAATCAGTCAAATCATTAGTTCTATCCAGTTATCTACTAAAATTAGTATTTGATAATATCTTTAGAAAAGTGAAATATAGTTGTGCAAGCCATGATATGGGTTATCTTCAATGTCAAGAGATGCTGGCAAAGGCTGATAAACTTCACCAAGACCGTTCAGTTTCTTATCAAAATAAAAATACAATTCACCAAGAAGCTGAGATAAGTACTCATGTTATTGGTTGCCATCAGTATTGCACACAAAAGCTTCAAAATGATCATGTTTAGGGAAAGAACTGTAACACTTCTAACAATTGGCTTTAATAAAATAGAGGTACCTCAAATACATGGTCCAAAGGACAGACAAAAGGTTGTCTAGTCATAGACCCCACCAGAACCCCAGGATGTCCAAACCATAGCCTATCCAACCTGCACCAAAGTTTTGGCATGACCTGAAAAACACACAAAGGAACAGAAAAGTCAAAATGAAGATCTCATGTACTGCTATATCCGCTGAATACTCCATCTCCCTGTTTTATGATAGTACTCAACCTACATTCATATCTACAATGAAGTACATCATATTCGCCCTTTAGAGGTCGTAATCAAATAGCTCACTCTTATGATAATTTCATAATAAAGAATACTGCTGTTGAGCCCTTTTCTATCAGCTTAACCTTTGGAGCTTAATGGGTTAGCTTAAGCTTTTAAAATTATTGATCCCTAAACATGTTATTACAACAGCTTCATATAAAAAAGAAATAAAGAACAGTATCATGACAAACAAGAAAACAATTATAGTAAAATATGGTGATGTTGAGATTGATTAAGATGATAAGTTTTTATTTACCTATTATGTTCCCTTTTTAGTGAGTAAAACACGTCATCATTAGAAATTTAACCCAAATTTGAGTTTCCATCTGACAGTTACTCAGCTTTCTTCTCCAATATGTATGTACGTGTAATAAACAGACTTGAGAATTTACAAAAGTTAAATTGATGAAATTGTATGTTAACAAGAAAATAATTTAGTTTATTTTCTAGAGAAAACCAAATGAACATGTCCAAAATTTAAGTTGCCAGTTGTTCTCACCAGTGTACGATTCAACAATGAAGCAATAGCCAGGGCAGTCCTTATTTGTTTCATCTAAAAAAATATCAAGAATACAAATTATGAGATGAACATAAAGTATGTAAAGTATTCTCAGAAGATAGAGGAAATAAGTTAATACGCGCATACTTGGTAATTCATAAGAGTTAAGTGAGATTCTAGATTATGCTCCCCATCCAGTAACATGCTCTTTGGAATAGATGGCTTAAATGACAAGAAACCTCCTACATAAGTCACCCGGAGAACTTAAATTGCAGTCGTATTGTTGAAAGAGAACATATCTCAAACTATGAACCAAAAGAAGAAAGTAAAGATGCACACATCCATTGTCTAAATGTGAAGTTAAGAACTTCAGCTTTGGCGTGAATTTCAGTAACTTATGATGTGGAAATATTTCATAAAAGATAAGGCTCCAATTGTTAAAATGAGCAAAGGGAAAGCCAGAACGGCTTGATCATGAGTAACAGAGAACAGAAAGGGTTCAGCTTGACAACAATACTACCATGAAATCCAACCCAAGAACTTAAGCAATTAGGCAGAGGACCAACAATGATATAGGTATCCACTTATATCACCTAACAAAACGTTATGGTAAAGCAGAATCATGGGACTGTAAGAAAGTATTACCAGGTGAATCATAATATTCAGGTGGATCATAAAAAACCATGCCTTCCCGCAGTCGGTGACGCTTTCCATCAGTGCCTGCATACTGGAATGTAGTTTGTACTGCATATGGCTCCAACCTGAGTTGTTGATACATGGCCTGCCAGTATAGAATTAAGACTTGATAAATTCTAGCATCCAATTGATTCTGTTTTAAGTTTGATGCATAATTACTAAGAATATGGTAAAGAACTCAAAATTAGTATTAATGACAGAACATGGTCAGGCATCATCAGATCATGAACTAATATATAGATCCTACCTGGACAAAATAAGTATGCCCACTACAAAATATACTTGCTGGCAGAACACCTAGCTTTAAATTTCCATCATAAGCATAAGCAAGTTCACTGTCCCCAATAACAGATGGTCCTAACTGCCTGCGAACAAGATCATTAAATCCATTTTGATCCCATATTGTGTCATCACCTAGAAGCATTTGTTTCCATTCCTCAGCCAATTTCTTTGCAGACTCCGTTGGCCGCCAATGGAAAATTCCTACATTATAAGCTGCACCAACTGTGAAGGTAAAGAAAAAACGTTGTTAGTGATGGTTTTTGACAATTAATAAAGGCTCATCATAACCATATGATAGATGCATATATAAGATTTTAAAAAGAATAAGTAAACTTGACACCTATTTACATACAAGCTGAAACTTGGACTAAACCCTGAAGGCTGTTAGCAGACAAGCCAGCTTGCTCACAAATTAAAATTGAATCACAGATGATTTAAAAGTTTTAGTCAAAACCATTCTAGAGTGGAGATAAAAGGTATCCTAAGAGACAGGTTAATTGTGGGACCAGTTTAAACTAAAACTAACTACAAGGTAGCTTCTCAATTCTAGTCAAACCCAATTTAGAATGGAAACAAAGGCATCCTAAGAGACAGGTTTAGTTTTGGGACCAGTTCCAAATTAACTCCAAAGGGAGGAATACCAAAAATAAGAATTCGATTTTCACCCTCACAGAAAGGGTGGACTTTCTTCCTTATTGTCTAAACAAAAATGAAGTATAGGTTGACATATTGTAACGTAATGAGTCAACAAGCATTTGATATCGCAACCATCAACAGAAAAATCTTATGTCTCATCAGTGTTCATAGGTCATGCTTGGGTAGAGGTGTGGTTAATAGCAACCATAAAGCACAAACAGGGATCAGATATGAAGTATAAGATCTTAAATGTATGATTTTCACCTTGTTGCCAAATGTCCAACCTATCATCAACAACTGTTGGTACAACATTATCGCTTGAGGTTAAGATATCTGCATCAGGATACCGAGCAAGATATGGAAGTGGATTCTGTTACAAAAACAAAGTAGAAATCAACACAAATTTTTGACCTATTACTACTCAATTTCAAATTTTGGAGTAAATTCCCTCGAATCATCTATGAATAGAATTCTCTTATTCAGTGGAAGATGAATTGATCAAAATTGAGCTACATTATGAAACAAATAAATAAGGGTCTGAACTCAACAGTAACAATCAGAATCCAATGAATTTTACCTTCAACCAGACCATGTCTGTATCACACATCAATAGCTCAAAACCAAAAGGAAGTACTGAGTCTATCAGAATTGCTTTCTCTCTGCCCATTTTATGAAAAGATGGTGAACCCCAGCCAACATCTAGGGTGCTCATATGGCTTCCCATATCAAATACTGGAACACCTTTCCAATACAAAGCCTCCACCAGTTTGGTATCCATAGCACCTGTATGAGAAAAATTAAATTCCATTTTTGAGCAATATTTAGTACGACTCCAAGTCAAAAACTTGCTGGCAAGCTACAATGCTGAATCTCCCTTGTGACAACTTACCAACGATGAGATTTGAGAGGCCCAAATCTGTCAAGTGTTTAACCCAAGTCAGGATGAAATCCATGAATGCATAGTTACCAAAAGTCATTATTATGACATTATCTTCTGCCCTTTGTTCAATGAGTTCTTTTGTCAGCCGAAAGGTCTTCAGAGGTGGCATTTTTTTGGTTTTTGGAACCTCCCATATAGGCGTTGTCAATTTGCTTTGAGGTTGAGATACAGGTGGTGGTATTGCACCCATTGCCATTGTTGTACGGGAAAAATTGGGTGTTAGACTTAAGTGAGAAGAATCTACATCTGGAGAAATATGTGCATGGAAATGGACTCAATTAGAGACAGATAGAAAGCAAAGCAAGTTTGATACCTAGAGGCAGAACATCATTCAAAGGGTTTTTCCTTGAGTCATGACATGAAAATATTATAAGATAAATTCTAATGATTGTTTTAGGAAGCATGAACTTCTCTCTTTTCTTCCTAACTCATAAAAACTAAAAACAGTGCTATTTGCATAACTTGTTGCTCCAAGAGCTACTAGCTGGCTAGCATGATAACTCTACCACAAAACTCAACATCACATCATGAACCAAAACAGAACATAGTTCAATTTTTAGTTCATTAAGAACCGGATAAAATACAACATTTAGCTAAGATCTAGACTACTATGAATAAAGGAAATGGTGAATTAGATTAATGTTATAATCAAACATATAGATATATATACATATGGTTACACATGAAAAAGCCAGTTTTGATCATACAAAGAGCTATTGTATCCATAAATCACAAAAACAAAATAAACACAAACGTTACTGTTAAGTATCACTTTAAAAGTCAAACTTACATGCTACCAATAAAAATAAAAACTTTTAGGCATTTCGAATAGCATTTGTTTCTACAGACTGATAATTAATCCTAGTCATGAAAATATCCACCTTATCATCGGATTACACAATCAAGAACCATTTCAAGCACAAGAAACAAAGCACCAACTCAGCCCCACAAGCTAAAACATTCCAAAACTAAACATGCAAGGTCCAAATCCATGAAAAACAACAAAAACACGAACTGGGTCGACATTAATATATATATATATATAAAGAACAAATTTAAAACAAAAAAACATACAGGAACCAGGAGAAGGAGAAGAAAGCCAACTTGTGAAGGAGGCAGTGGTGGGTGACTTAGAGGAGTTAATGGCGGAGAAAACATAAAAGGCAGAAACTAATATCCCGATAATCACAGTTGTGTAGATCGTTTTGAACAATGGCTTCGAATTCGCAACCTCTTGGTACCAGTTTCTCCAATCACTCATTGTGATTATTCTGATTGAAAAGATACAAAATTTATGATCAAATTGCGAGCTTCATTGACATTGAGAGAAGTATAAGTCCTAAACTTGGATGCAGTTTCTTTGTTTTGATGAATATGTAATTGAATCTAAGTAAGGACTGAGTCACTGAATTAGGTGGGTTGGTTTTATGGAGTTGTGTTTTTTTATATGGTCAACAACTTGTTTGCTCTGTTTTTATTTATTTTCCTTCGGAGTTATTACATTTACCCCCTAAAAGATGATCTAAATTCAGGGGAAATTTCATAATCTTTCAAACGTTGTGGGTTTTGAAAGAATTAAGTGATCTATAGTGGGGATAATCGTTCTTCTTCCTTCATTGTTACTAGCTAGTAGTTATTACCCAATAAAAATTATATGATTGTTATTTAATAATTTATGTGTTTTAAATGTTTAATTTATTTATGGTTGATATTTGACACGAAACCAGATCAATAGTGGAATGATATTGTAATATATCCCTGCTTGCATACATGATATGACATGGTGAATTACCAATTGTCAACTTTAGGCAACTTGGACTTCTATTGAAGGTGAAACATTCATCTCTATCTCTTAATATTATATATTTTTAATTAAGATTCGATTTTGACTTAATGGAAAAAAGAGAGGTGCAAACTCAGATCTATTAAAGTTTAGATTTATGAATGGTGATCTGGTTGTGGTGGATGAACTGGGTTTGGTTCCAGAGCTAGGTTCAATCAGTGTAAATATAATTCATTAAGGGTGAGTTTGGAAGTAGGTTTAACATTATTACAAGTACTTTTTTAAGTCCTTGAATTGGTTAAGGTGAAGCCAAAATTTGGGAATCTTGGTCTAATTATATATATAATAACACAAACATGAGTTACATGAACACTTTTGCAAGCCACCGAACCTAAGAATTCTCTGTTACATATATCAAAGCATGATGATAGGATGTAATATGGTATCTATATATATATATATTCCGTCATGAAAATGGACAATGGACAATAAACAAAATGACAGATTGAAGACCCTTATCTATTGATTTATTCTCAGGCATAATAAGACATATTTGAGCTCTTCATGCTACATTCCAACCCACAGAATCTTGAAAACTTCTCCACCTCTAAGGTTTATATTAACTGTAGTTTATCTGATAAAGAATAATGTTGGTTGCATGAATAACAATTAACGATCATGTGGTTCCTTGGATTCTCCACAACAAATCGAAGAAACTTATGGATTATTCCAGCAATTGTACTGGTGATTCTTGTCACCGTGATGTTGAGGAAGTTTGCAGTGTACCTGGAAGCTCAGGCAAGAACTGTAGCCACGAACAAGGAGACACCTCAAACAGACTTGGAGAAAGGACAAGATCATTTGGTTTCCAGGAAAATATTTACTATGTGTTGCACTGCTGGTGTTGTTAGAACATATGCTCTTGAAGAGCTGAAGATGGCTACTAGAGACTTCAAAATTCGGATAGGGGTTGGAGCCACTTCTCTTGTGTATCTTGCTGAGCTTGGAGATGGAAGATTTGGAGCTGTGAAGAGAGTCATGGAGGAGAGAGGTGGTAGCAGAAAGATCTTCTTGGACGAAGTCTCGGTTTTGCTCAGGATTTCTCATCCTAATTTGGTGGGATTGTTGGGTTTCTGCTTGGAGAAAGGTAACACTCAATCTAAATTCACATTCATACAATAAATCAATGAATTATTTTTTAATGGTTTAGTATTATCTTAAAATATTAATACTAGTGAATAAGATTTTTCAATAACCCTTCATCATTGTCCAACAATTCAATTATGTTCAATCTTTACACCAAATTTCCCGAAAATTTTGTATACAACAAGTTAATATATTTATCTCATCTCTATTAGTTGCAAACATAACATGAATTCAATAGGTTATTATATTATAGATGATTTTATACCTTAAAATGTTATTTGAATGACTGTTTTGCACTTTTGGTCCTATGGGCTTGCTTCTCGCTCAATTGGGTTAAGAGTTGAAGTTGAAACCCAGTCCATTTTTCTTAAGCCTTAACACACACAAACATGAGTCATGACTAACCACACACAAATAATATTTGAGCAGGAGAGCAACTTCTACTACTCGAATACATTCCAAACAAGAGCTTATTTGACAGACTGCACACCTACTATGGCCAATCACAAGGAACACTTTCATGGTCCAATCGTTTGAGCATTGCTCTTGACATTGCTCGAGCCCTTCAATACCTCCACTCAATGGCTGACCCACCTATTATCCACAGAGATATCAAGTCCTCTAACATTCTCTTGATTGACAATAACCATGCCAAGCTTGCAGATTTTGGGCTTTGCAAGCTGGGCCATGACTCACTTGGCCCGCAAACTCCAACCACCATCAAAGGCTCGTTTGGTTACGCCGACACCAATTACCTCAAAACTGGACTCGTTTCACCGAAAAGTGATGTTTATAGCTTTGGAGTGTTACTTCTCGAGCTAATAACCGGGCTTAAATCAACACAAGGTTCAGCAACACTAGCTGAATGGACAGAGGAGTGCAGGAAAAAAGATGATTCAGAGGTTTTGGCTCAAATGTTGGACCCAAAACTTAAGGGTGATGCTGATTTAGAGCAACTAAGAGTGATGGTGGACATAACAAACTCTGCTTTAGCTGAGAATTGTGAAGCTAGACCAGATATGAGCACCATTGTTGACAGGATTATGAGTTGTATGGAACCTCCATCTCATCCTGAGTCACCTGTATAGTTCGATCACTACTGTTATTTAATAATCCTAACAAAACTTTAATAATTCTTTTGTATATATATAGTTCCTCATGTACATAAATTATATTTATGCTTTTAATTGTAACATCTAGAATTGTATACTTTGAAACCTTATGTAGTGGTAGACCTACTTAATTTTTTTTTTTCATAATTATATATAAATAAAGAAACTATTAATGGTAGGAAGGATTTGCACATGAGCATGACATGAAAGTTTGTTGAACGAAAACGTTGGTGTTTCTTGGTAGTTGATTATTAGGTTTGACATGATGAGAAGCATGAAGGGAAGAAAATGTGCATGTATATATTTGAAGGATAATAGAGAAGTCAAAATTGGAAACTAATCATTGGGATTTGGAAGAACCCATTTTATTAAAGGCTACAAAGTCAAAATGAAATCCTAGAAATGTCGAACTTACTTATTCTCTTTTCCTTTCTTGGTGCAAAGAAAATTCAACTTATTACCTCCATAACTTAAACTTGTACAAATATGGTAAGAAGTACAACTCCATCCTCGAAGTTTTGGAGGTGGAAGAGAAATTAAACTTTCATGCATGTGTGATTATTCAATAACAACGTATCATGTCAACGCTTGGTTTATACATATCACGAGTGATTAAATACACGTTTAACGTACATACGTTAAAAATTTGAATGCATCAAAATAAACTTTGTGCTTCTTTATTCAACGAGTTAATGTCTTCTAGCACCTCATGATGAACTAAATGATATGAATCTATTTCAAGAAATTATCCCATCTATAGTATCATTTGAAACAACTTGATATACTCATATTCATTTCTGATTTCCCTACCAAGAAAGCCATTAATTTACGCATACAACAGGCCAAAAAATTGTTTCCCTTGGGTTAAGTTGAAAACACTTTCTCGACAATGACTTAAATGCGGTGCTTTGAAAACGGTCCACTTGGCAACACTTAACAGAGTCAATTAATTAAGATATATAATAAGACACGATGAAGAAATATATTCAATTCGAGTATTAGTTATACAGTAACCTCATCAATCTAATTAAAACCATTTTATAAATAGAATGTCAAACTTAGTTTCTAGGATCTAACACAACACATGCACTCGATCCTAGCTAATTTAAGTTGAGGTTTACCATAATTTGCGAATTGTATTATACAAAGTTGCAGTGTTTCTCCCCATGTCATAAATTTGGTAGCATTGAAGTCATTCACAAGCCAAACCATTCCCATTAAACTAATCAAAACTCATGCTTAGTTACGAGCTTGGTTTCACTTATTAGCTATAATCTAGTCAAAGCTGACTCACTAAGTGTTTAATTAAAAGGATAAATATTGGAAGCATGATTAAATAAAAGATTAGTTTTTTATTAATAGACTGTCATCCAACTGGCTTTGTCTGGTTTTGACTTATCTCCTTAGAATATTAATAATATAGAAATGGCAATTAATCAATCAATGTACCTCAAAAGCAGCATACATTGATGCTTCCTCGAATGCCACTCGTAAAGTACGATGCGTAGAACTTGATGCCCTCGCCCCTCGCCTCTTACTAATTACATAACACTAGTCTTAATTTTGTATTAACAATGTTTATTCTACGTATGTACATATTACGTACGTGCATGTGTACTTCAAATTAACGTGAAGCACGTGTCCACGGTTGCATGGCAATTAATTTGATTAAACCAAACAAGTCAAAACATGATTATATTATACATGGAATTATAAAGAAACTATGGGAGATGCGAGAAGGGCCATCTCTATTTTAGAACACTGTTTTGATTGGTCTACTAATCAATATTATAATCATAAATCAGCGTGGTTTTCTAGGGTTTATGATATTCATAAACTTTAATAAATAATTAGGAGAGAAGAGATATGATGTAAAGGTAATTAAGGTAGGGTCAACATGATGAAATTAAGTGGGGTTAAAGAGTAGTCTTAAGGAAGTGGTATCCACCCCATTTCTGAAAGAAATTTAAAATATAAATCAAAGTGGGGTAGGAGGAAGGATGTGATATGTTTTTTGGTTTTCTCAATCCCATCCCATATTGTCTCTTTCGGAATATAGTTTTTAAGTGTTAAATTAATGCATAGAGGGCAGATATTATTATATATTTATAATATAATATACGTTATGTACATGTAGCAATAAAGAGACTAAAATTGAGTAAGGGGGGAGCTAGACCAACCTCTCTAAAAGTTAAAACTTATCTGATTCCAAACAACTAGTATATGATTTTGATTTTATATATCTGTATTTGAAAGCTAGCTAGCAACTGAGACTGAACCTGGTTTTCTTTTAGTGGTTTTCTGTTTGGCCCATGGTATATATCACATTCTAGCCATATGTAAACAGTTATGTATTTATGAATAAGGAGTTGACATGCATGCATTAATAAGTTGACCCAATAAGCTATAGTTTGTATACCTAAGAGTCATTTAATTAAGTTATAAAGAGAGGTCGATGGATCGGGGAGTTGAAGATCAGATTCAGAATTAATATACTGTTGTTAAATTTGCCCATCACCCATCTGTCTATGTAAATGAATTTTGTATTAGTATAAAAGTATCACTTTTTGACAAAAAAAATGGAAAAGTGAGAAGGCAAATTTGATGGACACTATCTTATATACTTGAGGAGGAAATAAATATATAGTAACTAATAAAGAAAGGATGGATCAACTTCTGGTTCTGGCTCTGGCTCGTGCATTACTATTTCTAGTATAAATTATGATTTATTCGATCCATTGCTTATAAGTTTACAAATTGTATGGATAATTGAGAGAACATGGAATGATTCCAATCAAATTTCTTATTACTTTGCATCCAGTCAACAAAAACCTTTTATATATTCATCAAATTAGTGGCCGAATTTATACTCCATCATTTATATAAATCTTCTTTGAAGCTAAAAGAGTCTTCAATAGATTGCATCATGTATATTAGCTTGGTTTGAAGAGTTGAAAAGTTTGAAGGTTGTTCTATGTACCTGGTTGATGGGTTTTGCAAGTGGGGTTTACTTCCCAATTGCAATATTATGCGACACAGGTCCTGCAACTTGATCTGTAAAACTGTCAACAGTTTTAGATGATTAAAACTCTCAAGAGTTATAATTAAGATTGAAAAAAGTGAGAGAATAAGAATGTTAGATTGAGAAAGGTATAAATGACGTAGAAATGTAAAGAAAAGGTTTGAAAGTGGTGGATCCATATACATATAGCCAAGGAGAGGGAAAAGAGAATCTTGTCTTTAAGGATAAATCTCTTGTCTATTTATTGTCTTACATTACTGCTAATATGGAAGTCTTACGAGTCATAATCCAAACAATTTGCTACACATTGCTCATAGCTGATTAAGTGAATGTCCACTTCATGTAACTAGTGGGAGATCTCTCTCTCTCAATTCCCTCCTAATAAAACATATTTGATAGCTGTATCCAATTTCCATGCTTTCAACTTCACACTAATCAAACTGTTCATGATTTTAACTCTTGATTAAAGGTGCCCATATATATATATATATATACATGCCACTATTATGTCGGGGGATTATACAATTAACAAGTATGTTAATTGGTCAAGCTATAACCAACTCTTCTAAAAGCAATTTTAAATTAATTACCAAGTATAAATATATGTTACCTAGTTGCATTAGATTCGATTAATCTTCATAAAAAGGTCACAGTGTCATACATGGATGCTATCATCAATATATATATATAAAGCTATAGTCTTGAAGATCTTTTGTTTTTATATATTATTTTACTTTCCTGTGTGATTAGGTTACAACTTTACATCTATAATTAACACATTAATTAATGTATAATTTAGCAAAGTCTTCGTGCATTGAGGAATATTTTCAACTATACGTCAGTCCATAGAGAAGAAGAAGACAACCCATCACAAAGCAATTGTGGTATGCACAATTTCACCATACACATATATTTTATATGTTTATCAAAGCTGTTGCTGTGTATTCCCATTAATTTGATCTAATCTCCGCACTAATTAACCCTTCTTAGCCCCTTAAAAGTTGATAAACAAAACCATATTATACAATTCGATTAATGCTAGCTCAAAAGCAGCAACTATTGCTTCTTCTACAATGGAGATTATTATAAAATTAAAATAATGAAACATTATTACTCGAAGGTTGTGCTAGTGTTGCTTCCTAACAAACATATACATGCAAAAATGTATACGTGTACCACTACAATTCGCATGGCTATGTATGCGGCAATTGAATATTAAAAATAGTTTGTAATTTGCTGAGATATATTGCAATTTAGAAACCTGAGAGAGGTATGGAGGGTTAAATTAATTATTCAATATTTTTAATTAAGAAAATCTTATCTTCACAGCTAATGTGTGTATAGACAGCATGTTATAAGCTGCATTGGGACATATTGGACCCTTCAAAGTCAACTATTAAAAGAATCATCAAAGCTTCCATCACATCCCGTATCATCAATGTTTTGTAAAATTGAGATAGAAATGTGACATACCTTCATATATAACAACTAACAAGATCATTTGCAATCAACTCCTATCTTCCTCATTTCCTTTAAAAATCAAAGTGTCACATTCAACTTAGGGCAGAGAAAGTTTTTAATATGATTTGTAAAATTTTCCCTAGTTTTACACTGGTAGTCTTCCCCTAAGATTGACTTGCATATTAGATACGACGTCTTTTGACATATAAGTTAATCAAAATTATCGATTTATCACTTGAAATATATATACATATATTGTCAACTTCCAAAGTGGTTTTAAACATGGTGATCAATAATTGATAAGATTTTTTAATTTGAGAAGGATTAGTCGATTGATAGAATGAGGGCAACTGTCCTTGTTTGATTGTTCAAAGTTAAAGATGACATATGCACTGATGCATTTTGTACGTACTGGTGAAGCGAAAATCCTTTAGAAAAGTCTAATGACCATACACTTTAACACGAAACTGAGATAAAAGTAAGCATTAATAATGCAAAGTATTGAAAAAGAAATCAAGGGTTAGAATCAATGTCTTTTAAAGAGCAGAGCCTTCAATTTAGAAAATAAAGAGACACAGAAGATATTTTTGGTTTTGTTTTTCTTCATTGTATCTCATAACTGCATTTATTCCTGATGGTTACTTCATTATCCCTTTGAAATTTCTCAGATTATTTGGATAAAATGTGAACGAAAATTGTGTAAAGTGTAAATGTAAATAGAATAGGAATAGGGACAAATGTGACAATGAATGATCGTGAAAGAGTAAGGGTCCATTTGAAAAGTTTATAGCCGCGTGGACCCAACCACAATGCATGGAAACATGAACCATTTAACATAAAGCAAACAAACAACAACATGTATATACAATCAAATCAACTCATCTATCCTTCGTTGTTGCTCAGAAATAGCTCTTCATCATCATCTTCATTATGATAATGAACGGGGACCCCAATTGTACGTACCTCCGTGAACCTCAAATTCCATCTTCAACTTTTTCCTTTTCCTTTTTCCTTTGAGTCACTGGCAGATAGCAGATAGAGAGATGAAAGCTATCTGTGTCCTAGTAAGTAGTAATAATATGATCTTATCTGCAGTGGAGTCAATTAATTATTATTCGAAAAAACTTTATAAAATATATTTCGGATATATCACCCGATTCATATCATATAAAACCAAAAAATGCATGTTATATCATATTATTTATGTTTAACAAATACATATATGTTATGTATTTTCAAAATGAGAAATACTAACCTTACAAAGATGTATATAAAGAGGGGTATATAAAGATAAATCATACTCTTAATCTTCATGATTGTCTTTCTCTCTTTCTCTTTTTCCTTTTTTTCAAAAGAAGAGAAAAAGAGAAAGACAATCATAAAGATTAAGGGTATAATTTATCTTTGTATGCCCTTCTTTGTAAGCATCTTTGTAAGGGTAGCATTCTTCTTTCAAAATTAACGCGTAAATAACTTGTTATATGAATTTTTTCCTTGTGTTGAACCTCTCTCTCATATTATTTATGGCGTCATGGGACATAAGAATTATAAATATGAGGGTAGGGTTGCGGGATTTTAGTACGTACAGGTGTCTCAGCTGTTGTACCTGTTGGATGTATTGTTCAATTATTTTCTGATACAATCTTGACAGAAAGTTAGGTGTATGTGGATGCATTGAGAAGGTCCACTTTGTATTGTACTAATTAATCCAACTCTGGATTAATTTTGGGGTTACAATAGAATCATTAATGTTGGGTGTTATGGTGACAATTCATGAACTGTCTTTCTAACTCATTACCCTTCTTGCTTCTTGTTAGGAGTTCATCCTCCCTTTTGATTCTTCATTCCCTCTTAATTAAACTTAAATTTCCAACTTTAATATATTATTTACTATGATTACCCTTTACTTAATTGTATGTTTCCTGTTATTATTTAATTTACCAATCACATCGATCCTTGGTATACCTAGATAATTAATTTAATTTGGTAATAAAATATTCAATTTTGTATTATATATAGTTTTTTACTAATGACATTATCATGATAAGCTTAAAAATTAATATTTGGGGATCACTTGACCGTATAAATTTAGCAGAGGTATTAATTATGGGGTACGTGGATTATATTAAATACAGTGTAATTAGTGTTAATTAGGTGGTTAGTCGCCCAGCCATAGATAAATAGCCAAGCGCCATTTCACAAATTTAACATTATTCATTCGACTATTATTTATATCTTTCAAGTAAAATTATGGGATTATATTTATGGTTTAATGGGTTAGGTACTACTTTTAAACTACTTACTTATACACTTTATATTTTTAACTTTCAGTTTTTAATAATTATAAATTAATTAAAGTTTCATATGTATATTCGATCGATCCCACAACAAATATATTATTTAATACATGGACTGTTTTATACCTGAAAGGGCAGGATTAATTTGCATTTTTTATGATAAACATTTCGTGTTGGATTTTAAGTGTTAACACTTTTTAGAAAGTAAAATTATTTATTTATTATTAAAAAAAAAAAATAGATGAAATTGTTGTTATATTTGTAAGGTGTTGTTCTATAAGTTAAAACAAACCTAACTTAATTGATATCTAAAAGTTTTTTAATTTAATTTAATATAATTATCCATTACATTACAATCACTACAAAGTAACCATTAATTATACTGTCCAGTCCACAACAATTTGTATTTAATAATCTCAAAAGTATTCTTAAATTAACCACTATAGGATCTATGAAAATCTTTTGGAGACAGATGGAATACTGTGAATTACTAGAGATCAATGAAGGGAAGTGCTACCCTCATCAATTAATTAATTTATGACCCCCACAATGTCACTTAATTAACTATTAAATGGGAATAATAACCCGGAGAAATTTTCATGCAAACACGTGGTGTAACCTAGAAGCATAATTTAACTAAGTCAATTAACCATTAAATGTAAGCAAATAACTAATACATAAATTTAATCGCCAATGTGCATGCATGGACAGAGATCGAAAGATTAAGAAAATGTTATATAAAATTCGATCTCATTAATCCGATTAGGGCACTCTTCTGACATATGATGAAGAAGAACATAGAATAGAAGATGACTCTGATGAGAAGGTTGACTAGGAAATTTTGAATGGTTATTAAGAGAAAGTCAAGTGTTTGACATTAATTTTCTGAAAGTTATATTTGATCCATAAAGTCAGCTGGTTTGGTGCCTTTATATATCAGTTGAGCATGCTCAAACAGAAATTAGATACACTTTATATTAATATTAAATGTATATACATGAAAGATACTTGATATTGGACGCGTGTGATGAACAAATTTATGAGTTATGACATAGACAAACAATAATGGAGAATTGCAGCTAACAGTTCAGCTGCTGCCTTCCACATTTGTAGCCCCATTTTGATAACCTCTCTTTAATTATATATAACTGTATGTGTGTGTATGTAGACGTAAGAATGATCCTAACTTTAGGGGCTCATAAATGTTTCATAGCCATTTGCTTTCTTCGTTAATGCATAAAGTTGATCAACAAGATTGAATTTGTATTGGGACATTGTTCGAATCGTGACAATGATTGGAGTCTTGTTTCATCTTCTTCTTCTTGGAAGTCTCAAATCTTTTTACAGTTTACATTCAATTAATACATGCAACTTGACGATACGATGACAGGATTAATTTTAACATGCATGTTCTCTTGTGGAAGTGCATGCATATTAAAATTAATTAATGTACGAGAGGTTCACAGTCTTCAAGCTTTCCATACTGAATTTGTGAAAGCACATACGTATTATTAATTTATTTGAGTGAAAATTCATATGATATAACTAATCAATTCAGGGCACAGAAATTACATGAACATATACACATTAGTTGCATGAAATTGAAACATCTCATAAATTAATATCATACAATTTGGTCTTGAATTAATATTTGACATAGCTAGACCATTATAAAGTCATGATCCACATGTCACATGATAAATTTTCAAACCGTGTTAATAAAATTTTCTCCACGCCATTCAAAATCTTTGAGTCATGAATATGAATATGAATTTCGAAGACTTTTCTCACAATTCAATCAATTACTCTAAGGTAGGGCTACAACTTAATATCTTAAGGTCCCATATTTTATCCACAAACTAATTATATAATTGCCATATGTCCCTTCGTTGACTTTAAATTAATTGCCCCAAAAAAAAAACCAACTAATTTGAATTCAACATTTTCTCCTTACCCAAACAAACTTTCCCCCTTCTCTCATGCTGTCTAAACAAAATTAGATGACAATTATCAATAATGAAAACGAACCCTAAATCAATGGGCACCGTAAAAACCACCAATTACATTCCATTTAAAAGAGAATCTAACCAGTAATTGGGTTTGATTGGTCCTATCTAACTTAAATCCACATTAGAGAATAGTAACAAGTGATAAGGCAATAAAACTTAGGTATAAGTATTGTAACATATCCACAGTTATCAGAAAATATTACATATAATTTTCTTATCGCAAGCATGTATTTAATACTTTCTGATAATTGTGAGTTCGTTTAGTATTAGTGAATGGGGACGCTAAATGGTTTAATACTAAAATTACAGGAAGAGTGAAACGAGTACGGAAGGAGGAAATTAAGGTGGAAGAAGTCTCTCCCCTTTTGTCTTAGTTAAGGGGCAGAATTTAGTTCAAGGGTTATGAGTTTGGTCAAAATCACAAAGCTCCTTTTTGCAAGCTTCTTGACACGTGCTTTCTCTCTCTCAAATTTTCTGCCTCTTAATTTTGTTGTAAGACCAAAGATGAGCTGGAGGGAGATTCCGTGTGTGGGATTCAAGCTGTATTTGAAAGCCACTCTCTCTCTCTCCCTCTCTTTCTTCCCTTTTTCGTACCCTCTTCTCCTTTCCCCTTCTATATATACCCTTCTTCCTCACTCCTTTCTTCACACAATCAAACTTACTTCCCACTTCTTACTTCAAAAACAACTTCAACTTCACCAACATGGATTTCTCTTCCATGTTTTTCCTTTCTTTTGTTGCCTTTCTTTTCATCTTTCTCTTTAACTCCCTTCTCAATTGTCTTTCTTCTAATGCTAAGAAACTCTCTCTCCCTCCTGGTTCTTTAGGCTGGCCTTATATTGGGGAGACCCTCCAACTCTACTCCCAAAACCCAAATGTGTTCTTCGCCTCTAAGCAAAAAAGGTTTGTTTCTGAATGAATGAATTAATTAATTAAAATTTTTGGTTGTTTTTGTATGGAATGGTAGCTCACTTGAATATATTTTATTGTTGTTGTTATAGGTATGGACCTATCTTCAAGAGTCACATATTGGGATGTCCTTGTGTAATGATTTCAAGCCCTGAAGCCGCAAAATTTGTGCTTGTAACTAGAGCTCATCTCTTCAAGCCAACATTTCCTGATAGCAAAGAAAGGATGATAGGCAAACAAGCCATATTCTTTCACCAAGGAGACTATCACACCAAGTTGAGAAAGCTTGTTCTTCGCGCTTTCAAGCCCGAAGCGATAAAACATATCGTCTCTGACATCGAATCCATTGCTACAAGTACTCTTCAATCTTTGGAAGGAAGGTTGATCAACACTTTCCAAGAAATGAAAACAGTAAGTTTCCAAAAACAGAGCTCTCTGTTTTTCATTCCCCTGTTTTTCTGTAAAAGTCTCATCAACTAAGATAGTTTTCTTTTTTGTCGCTTGCAGTACACATTCAATGTTGCACTGCTTTCTATATTTGGAAAGGATGAAGTGCTCTACAGAGAGGATCTAAAGAGGTGCTACTACATTCTTGAAAAGGGCTACAATTCAATGCCCATAAATCTTCCAGGGACACTCTTCAACAAATCAATGAAAGCAAGGAAGGAACTGGCTCAAATTTTAGCCAAAATCCTCTCAACAAGAAGACAAATGAAGCTTGACCACAACGACTTGCTTGGATCTTTCATGGGTGACCAAGAAGGCCTCACTGATGAACAGATTGCAGACAACATTATTGGCGTTATCTTTGCAGCTCGTGACACAACTGCAAGTGTTTTGACATGGATTGTCAAGTACCTTGGAGAAAACCCCAGTGTGCTGCAAGCTGTCACCGTAAGAAACCAAACTTAGGCTCCAAAAAGATCTCAACTTAATTCAATTATTTAATTGTATGGTTCACAAAACAAGCAAAGTGGGAAATATAATAAAATATGATAATGATAGTTATCTCAAATGACCAATGGTTTTATCTGGTGGTGGCTTTACAGGAAGAGCAAGAGGCCATTTTGAGGAGTAAAGAAAAGAATGGTGATGACAAGGTTCTGAGTTGGGCAGATACCAAGAAGATGCCCATAACTACTAGAGTTATTCAGGAGACACTCAGAGTTGCCTCAATCTTATCTTTTACTTTCAGAGAAGCCGTGGAAGATGTTGAATATGAAGGTTAGTTACCTCAAATCTGCAAAATATTTCTACTTCTTTTGTATGCATAATAATTCTATTATTTATTCTGCTGCTAATAATTTCTCCTCTGTTAAAAAACTTTTTCAGGTTATCTTATACCAAAAGGCTGGAAAGTTTTACCTCTTTTCAGAAACATTCATCACAGCCCTGAAATCTTCCCAGATCCTGAAAAGTTTGATCCATCAAGATTTGAGGTAAGAAAATAAAAAAAACATATCAGAATTTTGTACTTTCCATACATTGATTCCGTTATGTTTTAATATTCTAACTCTCATATATTTTTTTTTATTAATGACTGAACAGGTTTCTCCAAAACCAAATACATTTATGCCATTTGGCAACGGGACCCATTCATGTCCAGGGAATGAGTTAGCCAAGCTGGAAATTTTGGTTCTTCTCCATCATCTGACCACAAAGTACAGGTTGGTAAACAGAGTTACTATTTACCTTTGTGAAGATCCCAAAATAGAAAATGTTTTTAAAGTATGTAGCTGACAAAAGCAAAATTGGTCACTTTTGTTGCAGGTGGAATATGGTGGGATCACTTAGTGGAATTCAATATGGCCCTTTTGCCCTTCCTCAGGATGGTTTGCCTATCAAATTAACCCAGAAGTCATAGGATGATAATAGGAATCCAAAAAGGGGAAGTCCCAAGACAACTTCACACTTCACAGAAGAGACAACTTCCTAAATATAGAAACAAATCATGCATGCCTTCAGTTCAGACTAATAGGTTTCTACTTTCTTTGAGAGAATGATGAAGATAAAGACCAATACTGTTTTACCATAAAGAGAGAGGAGGAACTCCTCTCTTTCATTTTGTCAAAAAGGAACAAAAAAAGTGGAAGAAACAAGTTTAAAGATTAGCATACTAAAAAGGAACCAGCAGACAATTGTACAGACGAGACCAACAAACAAGATTATGTTCATTTTTTCTTTTTGCTAGTTATTAGAGAGAAACAACCCCGCAAGGAATTAGATCAGTTTATGTAAGTGGGTTTATCTCCAATTTGAGAGTGTTTCTGTAATTGTTTCCAAATATCAAGTGCCGTAAGGCCACAATGATATAAAAAAAAATTCAATTATCAAAGTTTGATTCTCCATACTTCGTACCCTTCCTTCTATTATTTATATTTTATCTTTCTGGTCTTTGTAACAATCCAAGCCTTGTGGGTTACTTGTTCAAAAATTGTTAAGCTGAGATGATCACTATGTTTCCTCTTTCCAAGCATGCATTTGACCGAAATTAGTAGTTGAACAAGGTTACTTGTTCAAAATATAACATGCAAATGCAATCAATGCTTTTTTTCTTTAGATATTTAGACAGCTGTAGTTGCGTGCAGAACTTTAATGGCTTTGGCTTTTGTGATAGTTTTTGCTAATCTTTATCAATATGCGGGTGACAAATTATGCATATCCTGCCAATCTCTTGCTATCCTCTCACAAAAAATTTAACAGTTGAACAGTTCAACCATTGTAATAGTTTATTTAAGACTCTGCAAATTAACATTACTGTATCCTTTACAACAACCTATCGTCCAAGTATTTGTGACTAACCAAAACTGCAACTAAATCAGTGCTACCCTTCTAACATGCTTGCATTGCTAATTTGCTCTCTCTCTGCTGAAAAAACTTTTCATTTCTCTGATAAGAAACAATACCTTCCTGAGATTACTAACTGCAGATTTTTACGGTATGGTATTATGTATTTGAATGAGCCTAGTCTTAGTTATCCTATTCAAAAGAATAGTCTTTTATATGAAATGACACATCTTCCTTATAAGTTCCAAGACCGTTTGATCATCCGACTGATCTTCTCATTCTAATTCCTGAGACCATCACATTGATCTCTTGGCGTCCAGCTGTAGTACTATTTTGTAAGATACCCGGTTATGAAACTCAAAAGGTGATGGACTCCCCCGACTCTAGAAAAATGGTCATGTTTTGTCGCTTTTGATTACAGTGACTGCCCTCCTATTGATATTAGTCATATTAAGCAGCCAGAACAGAACAAAGAAGCTGCCATGAGTAAAATAATTGTCGCCGGATCTTAGCACAATATCTAGCAAGCTAAAGACTATAAATTCAACATCTTAGACGTTAGAACTGAGAATCAATGAAAAAACTACACTTATCCCACGTTATGTAATCTTTTGAATAACTTAGATCAACATCACAACAAAGGCAGCATCTTCTCCCTTTGACTTCTCATAACTTGAATATCCTAGCAAATGTTCAGACTTTGATATTTTTTTTTTCTGTAATCCAAGCACGTGTCCTTCATTGATGTTACAGCTGATGAATTCATAGATTTTTCTACAACACATTACATGCTTATCTAAAACGTTTAATAGTTATTCTTACCACCAAAACATTTCTACTAACTCCCTAAGTTAACAGAAAAGCATTTTTTAACTATCTCAAACCACTTCCTAACGAATTCTTAGCTCTTAGTAGTCTTTAAATGGCCATAAAACTATTGTGCGGTAAGTAATTGGTTGGATAACTAAAAGGGTTTTAGATTTTATCGAGAGAAAGTCACTTTAACTAATAGATTCGTCTTTTGGGTTTAGTACTCAGAATTCTTAGTAGAGTAAACAGTCACTCGAGGATATGGTCCCAATGGATATAAAGAAGAATATTTACATAACCTAATAAGTTAACCTTTTGAGTTGGATATTACGTATCTCCAACAAAAATTCCTCTGTTAAGAAGCTGATGTAAAAACAATTTGAGATATAAATAATTGAAGGATAAAGAGAAAGGAATTATAATAATTGGAATAAAAATTCAAGAATGGGTAGCTGGCTGGCGATTTAGTTAATCGAATGCAATCATCGTCATAGGTTCAGTTGGGGGTAGCTTTCATAAATGTCAAAGGTGAGAACTCTGGGTTGATACAGATATAAACAACAGTGATTCATGAACAGATGAGTATTTCTTTCACAATCATAAATTTTATGTAAAAAAACATATATATCTGTCAGCATTGAACATGACTTTGTTTTTTTGAATTAGCAATTGAAAGCGACTGAATTGGACTATTTAACTCATTTGACCCAGCTCCAGTTAAGCTCTAACAAGAAACAACCAAAAATTAATTCAGTCCAACTTCTTGTTTTGTTTTGTTCTGTTTTACTTCTCTATTATTAAAAATTGAAAGAAATTAGAAGTCTCTGGCACAGGTGTTCCTGTAGGAATGTGATAATGGTTTTATGGTCAAAGATTACACCCGCAACTGTGCAAGAGGCGGCCACAAGTCTCTCACCACAAAGTTTAGTAATTCGTCTCCCTGATGATGACTTGTTTTAATTGTCACCAATAATGTCTTATTCAGCCACTGTAGAACCCTATGTGTTACTTGTATCTTCAACATGAAACGTGCACTGTAAACTCCATGCGCCTGATTTGAAGAAGTTGATTTGATGTTACATTTACTTGAGTGAACAAGCACCGTCACCTAATTAATTGTTTGCCATGAAACATGCCCTGTAATCATCTTCCATCGTGATTAAGGATACGCATAATCTACTAGAGCTAATTGGGTTGATGTATGACAAATAATAAATGATGCCCACATTTTCTTTCAATGTGGAAAAGTTTCCCACCACGTTTTAATTGCATTAACTAGATGTATAACATAAATGCCTACAATCTTAAGTTAAGGATCTGGTTATGGTTTCCTTGATCAGAACCCAGTAGTAAAAAGCTGTCTGGATTATATGTTATGGAGCCAGTAACATAATAAGCTATGGTATTCTGAAGTTGACACAGGACGAGAGGAATATGTCATAAAAAGAAAGAACTCAATCAATGACAACAAGCATAGGAGCATAATTTAATATGCACAATGTCATAGCAGAGTGGTTTGTCAATCTCTCAACAAAACCAGAACTGGTCTTTTCAATCCAACTCATTGCCAGCTATACTTTTGGTTAGCTTTGAGAAAGGACAAAAAATTAAAGTTTATGATATGAGATGAAAGTTACGGACACCAAATACCCAAAATAGGATTCAAAACAGTTTGCAGTCGCAACTAATACTATTATAAAAATCATAACATATGCAAGCTTAATGCTCCACTTGGCTCACCTTTCTGTTTCGGAATGATGATTGTGATGCCAATTGCAAAATCATAATAAAGCAGACAAAATGGAATTCGTATTTCCAATCTAAAAGCTCTAAAGAACAAACAGTAAAAGTGAGTATGCCGATGGAGAAGGATAAGAGCTGCTGCTTTTCGGATCATGCTCTGAGATCAAAAGATGATCCTTTTCTAAATTTTAATTCGTCATTCCTGTTCCACTAGGGTCTAATAGATCCAAGGAAGTGCCACATCTCATACAGACGACATTTCAATGAAGAAGCACCGCTAATTATATATATCTATAAAGTGCTATTACAATTGGTAAGATTAGAGCAAATAATGTTCCACAGCTTCCATTGCCAACAAAGGAACAGAAAGTACTGGCTGAGCCACAATAAAAAGTTACAATACAAGAGTGGCTATACATGGCTAATTACAGCTAGCACTAATGGATTCTGACTCGGATAGCATATAGTACACACTAAAGAAAGTGACAGATTTAACATTTCAATTCATACGTGGGTGAAATTCACCAATTATGCAGCTTGTAACTACATCTGAAGATCTGTCCACTCCAACAATTATGGATCCTCAAGCCCGCCATTGCATGTCCCGTAATTTGACATTCCACCTCTAAACTGTTCAATTAAGAAGATAATAAAACTCTAGTAAGGATTCTTTTCGGTTAAATCAACCATATAATTTTGGCCTCAGTGCTTACTTACAACTATATGTTCCCTCATTATTTTTGTTTTTCCAATTCCATGAGAAAGAGAAAGAAATATTTCACCTTCTCAACATCTGTCATTCCTGAGACATCTTGCGTTCTTTTCCTCAGTTGTTCAACACGTGCTTGGGTCAGGTGATTCTGTTCTTCAACCTAATGAATGAAGCAGAATAAGAACAGTTTGCATAACAGAAAGCATTTATGTACTGCACCTATTTTACTAGAATCAAACAAAGATTTTTGGGCCACTACTAGAGCCCATTTTCGTTTTCTATAGATTATTTGAATAAAGTCAATAATTTCCAGGAATCATGTATCCTATATTTTTAGTAGATTTAATTTTAGCAACTACAGGATTACCCTTAGCAAATCAATGAAAGCATAAATTAGATTGAACAAGGTGTCAGGAGCAATCTAACTAAATGGAACAAAAAGTAAGATTGGCGGCCAAGATTGACAGAAATTCAATACAAATGTTCCTTGCATAGATTGATTTCTGAATTGGCTCTTTCTTGACAGCATAAAATGCTCAAACACAGCTTCCCACAAAACTTTTCCTTAAGATAAAGTAAAATCATTGACAAAGCATGGCAATATTGAGAAAGACTTGAGCATTCTAGGGGACTATTTGCGAAGTGCTACGACATAAACATTTTTGAGTTGTATGAACTGGTTTTTGGGAAGCTGAAATTAAATAGATATGTCAGACACATTTTCTAGTTCTCCTTCTACCCACAACCTCCGACTACTATAATATCAACCTTAATACAGGAGAGTAAATCAGCACATGTGATGGGCAAATGTTGCTGCATCTTGCTTGTTTCTCAAGATAAAGGAGATATTTTTAAAACAAAACAGAACAGAGCAACTATAAGAACACCATAAATAGAAAATGAAGAAAAAAAATTCAGTTATAAATCCCCATCATCTTGATTTCTGCTGTAGGAATTCAGCAAGATCCTATGCACAAATTGTCCTAATTAAGAAAAATTGAGAAAATCTCAAGTCTTATTGACATAAAACCTCTTCAATCAATCAACAAAACCTGATTCTACGACCACTCAATAAGTGCATAATGCATGTTAAAAAAACCCTTGAAAACAAACAAAAATAATATATTTATGTTTTTGAATGGAGAAAATTGATCTTTTCTAAACATTACTCACCCTTTCCAACATACGCATCAAGTACTGGATCTCATTCTTCTTCGCTGTTGACAGATCACATGTAACATCCATAATATTTGTCCTGCATGTCAGTCAGGACACTTGAAATAAGAAGTCCATCGCAACATATAGAATGAACTGCATATAGATCAAGTAGTAATCCAAGGGCCATTGAAACCAGTTCCAGCATGATACAATGTAGTTGGATAGACTGTATTTTTTGTTATGAAGTCACTATAGTGACTGCATCAGAGGTATGGATGATGATGAGAGTATAGAAACATACATTGTCAGCAGTTCTCCATCAGTGGTTATTTGTTATTGGTTCATATATAATATTCTTTAATATCATTCAATAGTAGGCCTACACTGTCAGAAAAGATTGCAACTGTCTTCCTCTTTGTTTTATTCTATGTTTCTTTCTTATCTTAAAATTAGTCACATGTAGGAGATTAAAGTGAAAAGTTCATCCTGGAAAAATGGGAACATGTAACAAACCATGTCTACTGGGATCTGACACAACCTATGTCTATGCCTCTGTCTGCTGCTAAAGGCATTCTTCAAGAGTAAGTTAGTCACTACGCATCTAATATATGTATTAGCAGAGTGAACTTAAAAAAAGGCCTTGCATAGCAGGAAATCTTCTTAATTTAGAGGCAGGAGTAGCCAAATCTAGAGCTAAATCAGAATGTGGACATAAAGCTGATAAGCACATGAAGTACTCTGCTCTGACCATGTCCAGGGAAACGGTTGTAGAGTTTCAAGTATCCACAACGTCTCCATTAACAAAATAATCATTCTAAACCTTAAAAGCTACATGAAACAATGAATTCTAAAATGCTGCTAATTATCCACCAAGTGAAGAATTAATGAACTGCAAAACCAAACAACTACTGTCTAGAAGCCAACCTGCACACTACCCTTTTCAAATAATATGATAGACTGGAGCTCCAATACAGAAGACATCACAAGTAAAATCATTTCACTCATTCTTGTTAATGTCCTGTGTATGAATTCAAGTGTAATAGTTTTCCAAATGACCATATAAAATCAGGCAGTATTTGTTTGAGCAGCTTAAAATATGTAGCTCTAGCATACAATGATATGACAAAAACATATATTACAAATAGTGAATATTGCAATAAAACTTTATCAGTTAAACAAGTATTTGCATGCTATCAAGGGATTAGATAGACCTACTTATCTGAAGACAATGGATCCAGACTTTTTTCTTCCACAAGTTGCTCCACAGTATCAAGTGTGTTTCCCACCTTCAAAATCATACTTAATTCAACATTAGAATGCCCAACCAACTAAATTCATAAAATCAAAAGGAATGAATTTAATTAGTAATTGAATTGACCACATCTAGCCGCGTACCCAAGTAATGAATAGAAATATACCTGAGTTTCAAGGCATAAAGACTGAAACTCATCCTGTAATATGCAAAAGAGGCAACGTTTGAAATTAACAATCATAGCCTAGTAACAACGTATTTAAATCCTTTAAAAAGCTAAGGGAAAATCATACCTCAATGTTTTCATGCAAAGAAGTAATCACCTGAAACTGTACACCCATTAGTTCAAATTTCAAACATTAACCAAAACAAAATTTAAAAGAATTAAAAACAGCTCTGAGTAGATGTTTAGAGAGGGGACCTGGATGAATAGGCGGTGGAGGGAGTCTTGCTCAGAAGCAGTAAAGTTATTGAATGCTTTGCTGAATTCCTTTTTCATTTCAAAAAAGAAAAAAGAAATAGTGGTAAATAAGAGAATTGATAGTTAAAGTAGATGAACAGAACTTAGAAAACTAAGCAGTGAAGAAAAGTTACTTGTTTTGAGCAAGTAGTGAGAAGAGAACGAATTGCGAGCTTGAAAGACTTGTTAAGATCCGATTGTCTTGACCCGACAAGATCACCCATTTTCTCCATTTCTCACAAACTTACAGGTCACAGCCGCGAAGTGGAAGAGAGTGTAGGAGCTGCTAGAGGGAGCAGGGGATAATGAAATGGGCCGAATTGAAATGGGCCTGTTTCAGCAAACAAAACATCCTCAAGGCTCAAATCTGAATATTTCTGTGTTTAAATATACAATAATGTTTTGATTATAATTGAGTCATACAAATATACAAAAATTGTATAAAATTTATGTAAAATGATTATTCTATCATTTATTTTTTGTCTGTTTGTATGACTCAATTATATGCATAGTATTACTTAAACCATCTCTAACCCATAGCACCAATTTGGTGCAAAATTGCACCAAATTGGTGCAAATTTTGGTGCAAAACACTATTCCATCTCCAATCCACAATACCAAATATTGCACCAAAAAGAATATTTCTTATAATATTCTTTTTTTCTTTTATTGTAATAATTAACAATTAATCTATTTCACTCATTATTTTTGTATATATTAATTAAATATTGGGAATGATATTTTTATTAAAATATTATATTTTAAAAATTATACTAATTTAATAAAATTAAGCATTTATTTATCAATAAACATTACATTAATATAGAAAAAACAATCATCTAATATAAAATGATACCAAAAAAAAAAAAAAAAAACAACACAAAGGTAAAATTCATATTGATAGCAATTTAATTTTCCAAATTAATTTTATTTTGAGTTATTGTAGTTAACATTTGTATGAATAAAGTCATATTTTAATTTTTCATCATATTTTAATTATATCATTATTATGAATTTATTATATAAATAATAATCAAATTAAATAAATACAAATAATCAAATTTGTGTGATTTTTGGTGTAAAATTTAATACTCAAATTGACTTAACAAAAAAAAAAAAAAGAAAAAAAAAATTATTGGCGCTAATTTGGCGCAGCGTTGTAGCGCCACGCCAAAATGGTGTGGTGTTTGGCGTGGGTTGGAGATGCCCTTATAGATATATCATATATTTCCAGTGATGTAAAGATCGGAAAAGATACAGCCACCAAAGATTATACATCGAATTCATGCACTGAATGACGTGACAAAATCCTGACCGTTGATTAATATTAAGTTAAAATTAATCAACGGTCAGAATTTTACCACGTCATTCGGTGCATAAATTCGGTGTATAACCTTCGGTGACTGTAGCATTACTCTGTAAAGATCTATCATATATTTGCTTGCAAGAATTCAAAGGAACCATTTGGAAGTGTGAACAATAACAGTGAGATTTTATATATCCCACAAACATTTTTATCTATAAAAACAGAGAACAAACAAAGCAAAACAGAGCTCTTCTATTTCCATTCCCCTATTTTCTGTCAAACTTTGCTTAAACAAACAATAATAGTTTCAACATGTGTAATAATGATCTATCCATGTTGTATAGACAGTTTTGTTGATATATTTGTAAACAATTTGCTATTTATCACCTCACTCATTAAGACTTTGGCATTATGTTATCACCTAAATTATACATGCTTACATGTAGTTCATTTTTAACGCAGATCAAACTATTAAGCATGCTTACTTGTATTATAATTTTATGAGTAAACAACCTATTCCCACCCGAGGTTTGACGAAATCCTAAGTTAGTACCCCTGATTACATTTATTCCAATTTTCACCTTTAAAGTAACATTGTTAGCAATTTTTAGGTTACAAACAGTGCAATTATCATAATGCCCTTAATAAATAAATTAATACAATTATAAATTTACCTTTTTATTTTTAAATTACTTCAATAACACCTTTGGTGGTTGCACACCCTCTCAATTTTTGCTCGATCTGGGCTATTTCCGATGGTGTTGAACCCCCTGGTCACCTTTATCACCTTTCGCATAGTTCGTCGTCTAAACCCATTTGGTTCCCGACTCATTAGCCCCTCTAATCGTCGATGCAGTTTGGTTTAGGGTTTCCTTGTTTTTCGTTGGATTTCGACGGTAAAAATCCAATTAAACACCACAACTTCAACCAACGTCTCCAACTCTATAAAACCCCTATGTCCCCATCCACTGTTTAGTTGCCATTTGTCGGCCGAGAGGTTTGTGTTCATCACATTTTTGGTGAAGTGGTAGCAGCAAACTGTGAGTTGTCGTGCTCGGGAAGGTTAGGGATTTTTTAGGGGGGATGCGAGGAGTCAAACGGTGGTGGTGGTTGGGGTTGTAGTGGCTCAAAATGGCCAAAAATCGGCAAAAAATAATCGCATGTCATGGCTGCCGTGGTCGGCAATCGACGAGTAATGAAGGGTTGTGAAGGGAAATGTTTTGTAGAGAGAAGGATGGGGGTTCGAATGGTGGTGACAAGGGTGCTTTTGGGTGAAAGAATCACCAGAAAAAGGGCGAAAAAAGCCGAGGGTGACGTTTGTTAATGTGCGTTGCCTCCTACAAAATGACCAATTTACCCATTCACCGTTAAGTCAAACACTTTTTTGTCACTTTAAGGGTGTGAATCTGGAATGAATGCAACCAAGGGTACCTACTTAAGATTTCGCCAAACTCGAGTGGGAATATGTCGTTTACTCTATATAATATATATAGCCAACGACTACACAATAGATATAAATAAGTTATGCAAGTTATAAATGTGTATGTTAGACCGGTCGTCACAGTCACAAAATTAAACCTAAATACCGTAGTTAGCGGTAAGCAGGGTCGAATCCACAGAGAGAAGACTAATGACCTAATGTATATTTGAGTTAACGAAAGAGAAATTAGCAGAATGATTAATTAAAACTAAGGAAACTAATTACTTGCAGGAAATTAAAAGCATTAAATAAATTGCTAACTAAAACTCAATATTAAAAGCGTTGTCGCTACGGGTTCGATTTGACTCAAGACCAACTCTCACAATTCCTCTCCTCGCTCTTCAATTTCCTAATCCTACAAGGCTAGGCAAATCAATAGAAATATCTCCTGGCAATCTAGGCATAATCTATCCTGTCTCCCCGTCGTCTTAGTTACAGATCGATTGGTTAAAGACTATCATTGACTAACCGAAAAATGCTAAACCCTTAAACACCACTAGTTGGTACAACGTTAACAAGTATAACTTATTAACTTGTATCATCCAATCAACTAATTACACAATAAATGCATTCCTAGTGGAAATGATATTAAACGCTACTACAACTTGATTGTAATTAGTACCGAAGCAATTTAAAGTCATAATCAACATTCAATAATCTCAAACCGACATTCAATTATGCAAAAAGTTATATATCAATAAACGTTTTCAATGGACATTATCAATTCAACACGTCGAGCATCATAATAATATTAAAGTATCACAAACAAACTGAAACGAAAATAAATATAATCTGAATACAAGAAACTTAACCAAATACCCAACATTCGGGCTCATCCAACTAGTCGAGAGCTGATGAGAAGATCAGTGGAGTCAATCTCGATCTCGCCTACATCGTAACTGACAACCGGGAACTTAGCCGCTCATGGTGGTGATGACGGAGGCTGAGACAGTGGAAACGGAGCTGATCATGGCGGAGAGGAGGTAATTGACAGCAATATGATGCGAAGAAGGGGCTAAAACGACCAACGGACAGCCGGGAATACGAACAGCCACACTTCACCGGAAAACGTTAATTTTCTGGCGGGTCTTCCGGAAATGGGATCCGAAGGTACCGATGGAAAGCTCTGGTGATGGGGAGTTCAGATCAGGTCCTGGGGAGGTGAGAAGTCGCCAGAAATGAGCAGGATCTAGCCTGGAAGATGAAGAGGTGCGGCGGCAAAATCGATGATTCCGGCGGTTTTCGCGGCGGCTGAAGCTGGGGAAGTGTAGATCCGGCCGTGGGGAATGAAGATCTACCCTTGGGGAGCTGGAACGTTGTCGAAAAAAGGCCAAAACTGGCCGGGAAGACAAAACGACGCTGTGGTGGGAAGATGAAACGTTGCGGCGTTTCCGTGATTCACGGTGGTGGCTTGTGGTGGAGATCGGTGGCTGGTGAAGATCGGTGCACCGGGAAGATGAAGCGTCGCCGGAGGGAGACGAAGGGTCACCAGAGCTCGCCGGAGCTCGCCGGAAAACTGGGTGAACAGCCCCCCCTGTACGCGACTTTTCATCTTCTTTTTATAGAACAAAATGTAAAATGTCATTTTGGTCCCTACATGTTTGAAAGTGACAAAATTAACCCCAAGATTATGACAATTTGACCCCTGAATGGCATAAATGAGACAACATCAACCCTAGAAAATAAATCACATCCTAATATCAACTTACACAATCTCAAATTTCAATCCAAACATGCCAAATTAGTACGAAAAACTCAAAATATGATTTTTAAACATAAATTCATAATTTCTCTTAATTGTCTCAATATAACTTCAATTCAATTACACATAGGGTCTTTTTGTCACCAAAGTAGAGTCACTTTCATGACTCTAACAGTGTAGTACTTAATTTTTCAACTTTATAAGCTATAATACCATGGAAATGAAATGAATAAATTAAGTGGCAATATTTGGTTTTCATTTGTGGTTAGCTTTTGTCTGTGAATTCCTGGGAAAATTATTGTGGTCTCAGAAAATCATATATCATCTGTTGTGAAAGCTAAAGAGAAAGCAAAGATGTATATTCGGATCAGAAACTCAAAGGAATAATTAAAAGGAGAAAAGCTATAAGAATCTTTTGATATTGACTAAGTAGAGATATCATAGATCAAGTACAATATATTATTATCCACATTCCCTTAATATAATTGGACCACCATCCTCGTGTTTTATTATATTATATGAAGATTTTGATGCCATAAAATGTAATGCCAAATATATGGCAAAAAAATATCTTACTATAAACGTCAAATAGGAAATAGATTATTATCGTGGGAAGGAAGATATTGATAATCAAGTAAAACAAGTCATGCAAAAATAGACAAAAAGGATTCACTTTCCCAAATAACATTTCAATATCGCAAAACTATAATTATTTCAAGCCAAATTTCCTTTGGGAAACTTATAAGGAATGTAATTAATTAAGAAAGTTGTCAATATCTTATGATATTTTAATTAATTTTTTATATGTTTTTTTTGC